AGACCCAGGTAATGTTACCCTTCTCCCTGGGGTGGAGAGAAGCAGACTGCCCCGGCTCGGCAGCAGCAGGGAGGCCCCACATTCCAGACCCCAATCGGACGGCCAACTTCTCCTCCCAGCCCCCCCCCCCTCAGCAGCTGCCCTCTTTTCAACGCCTCCACCACTCCAGCATCTCAGGTGTTGCTCTTGTCAGAGTTATTTTTTAAAATATGTTTATACAGTAACCCTACATTCCCTAATTCTCTACAAAGCTCACTCAGCATCAACACAGCAGCCAGTTTACCTTTGCTGCCGTCAGCTGGTGTCCAAGCAGCACATACGTGACGAAGGTCAGGATGGAGATGACCACAGGTAGAGCAGCCCAGGTATACACACACAATGCATCCAGGTATTTGACAGCCTTAAGGTGGGACAGCTCCTCTTTGCGACAGTCAGCCACCTTCTGTGTGAAATGAGGCTCCCAGCTATAGAACTTGATGACGCGAATGCCGAAGAGGATCTCTGTCATTAACTGGAAATAAGTTCAAAATTAAAAATAATCTCAACAAGATTTTTTCCCTGGGTAGCTTCATAAAAGTATATAAATCAACTCAGTGTAATAAGAGCTTAAACATGCCATACCTTAACACGGTTATCCTTCCACATGAGCATCTTTTTATTGTTGCTAAGGATGCAGGAAGCAAGGAACTTGTTGAATGGCACCAGCAGCAAAGCTACGGACAGTCCTCCAAGGAAAGCTACACCCACCTGCAGATATAGCAAGTAAAGGGTGACAGCTAACTGAAAGGGCAGGCTCCACAGCTCATGGAAGCTTTGGAAGAAGTTAACCACACGGTCGGTGTCTGTGCTCATTAAGTTCACCACCTCCCCTAAAGTAAAGCCAGCCAAGCTGCAGCTGCTGACTCTCAGGGCTTTGTTGTAGATGGCCGTCACAAGAGCAGCTCGTGCTGACAGCGCCACCTTGGAGACCTCGAAGACAAAGATGTTTCGTAGAACAGAGCACAGCAGGGTGGTAGCAAAGAGCCCCAAGGCACACCAGACACCCCTGCTGACTGGGGCACCTTTATCCTCCATAAAATTCACAAGACTACTGAGGAGCAGTGGACCTGCAAAGCTCAATATGTTGACTGTCACCTTCAGCAGACCAAGGATGTAATACCACTTCCCAAACGCCTTGTGTAGCACCTTCAGCAATCTTACATCACCTTCCAGCTCCAGTGGTTGGTCCTGGTTGTGTAAACTCCAGCTGCCACTTGGGAGGTTTGTGCTGACTGGTGTGGGCCATTGATCCTCTTGGTAAGTGACTGGTGATCCTTGCCAGCAGGCTTCCCAGCACTGGTGAAAATACCGACAAATCACACTAGTTCTAAGTTTCTGGGGAAGGTGATATACATCGGCTGGTCTGTCCAGTTCCCATCTCTGCCCTCGCCTGAGGAGAGGGGTGAGCCACAAGTAGAAGAGTCGAGATAGGCAGTCACTCCCATCCTCAGCCACAATCTCCCCAGTCTCCAGGTGGGTGTTCTCTGGGATGAGCGGAGAGCCATCAACATCGTTAATATACAAAGTGTACCCAGCATCACTGATGCAGGGGAAAGCAAATGCCAGGAGGTAAATGAGAAAAAGAAATGTCCGTACTGAGGCAAGAACAAATCGGGCCAGTTTAAGAGGTTCAGCTGGGTTTAAATATTGCTTGTTGTTAGAGTAAATTATCAAGTTGATGACAAGGTTGGGGAGTAACAGAAGCACCAGGAGAAGCAGCAGTGTAGGTCCTCTGGTTCTCTTAAAAACAGTCCTCTGGAGCACTGTTATGACACTGAAGTGGACCAGCCAGGCCAGGATTGCACAGCTGCCAGCTAGGATGTCCAGGTACATGTCTCCCTGCTGGAGGACACTCACCAGGATGACATCTGCAGTGTAGAGTAAGGCAGCCAGTAGAGCTGACACGAGCCTGAGTGTCCAGCCACACGGGGGAGACGTCTGGAGGTGGCTGCATCTGCAAAGCAAACAAAAATGTGAAAATATAGACACAATTTTTAGAATCATCGGCATTAGTTTTATAGGGTGCCCCATTCGATGATTAAGCTGCGCATTTTGAATTTAGCCAAAAACTGGACAACTCAGAGAAGACTCCAAAAAAGATGGGGGGGTTGCTTGTTTTTAAAGAATTGTTGTTACATTAAAGTAAAACATACTTCATCAGAAAATCCACTGCAAGGATTGATATGCATGTTTTTTTGTAACTACAACTTCATTATCCGCTAATAAAATTGCAAGATTGGAAAAGTGTTGTTGATAAGGACCTGGTATCAATGCATGACCTACCTTGACATGCTGAGGTAGCAGGCACTGAAAATGGCCATCCCAGCATGGGGCAAGACACCAAGGATGAGCTGGTTAAAACAGGGGCTGATGCATTCATTCTGCCACAGAGGAAGAGGATCCTCTTCATCTGTATGACAGAGGCCTGCAATCAGGTCTGTTGGCCCAAAGTCATTCATCCTTCTTCCTACTTGACTGCTGTCATTCTAAAAATTATCTGTAGAGGAAAAAATAATATTATTTATCAACTTTTAAAAAAGGTAACAAGGGTGTTTCAAAGAAAACCCACAGGGTAGTTATTATTCTAGAAAACATTATTTTTAAAAAAAGAAGAAGAATACAACAATTTGTTGGCACTATCATCATCTTCCTATCAGTAAATAAGACAACATTTTACCATTGGCAGAGGCCACTGATCATCTGTTATGTCCCGTCAATTCTGCAGTCCATTTTTCTGAGATCCAGGTTCAATAATTCACATATTTATTCATAAATCCCTGGGTTGAAGACAGTACAGATAATTTCAGTAATGAAAAGGTGATAAAACTACAAAATAAACAAGAACTAATGTACTAACAGCAGCTATCAGCTAAATTTTAAACACAGCTATGTCCCTGAATTTTGTAATCTGTGCACGCCTAATGAAAGTGAACATACTTTCCCAAAGCCAAAGTTTGAAAAATGGCAGTATAAAAACAGTATAATAAATAACCGGATTATAGTTTAGGCAATAGTCCTGTATGATTAATTTTATTGCAAGAAAAAAAAGGGGCATCCATCTATTTTTTTAGCCTCTTATCTATTTCAGGGTTTTTTTAAGGTTGTGTAGCTGAGCGTTTTAAAAAACAATAGGTCAAAAGGTATGGAAATTTGTGTTATTTTGAAATACAAGCTATGGTCATCCTTAGCTTGATCAAGAACTTTTCATATTTCATTCTGAAATGTTCAAATCCAAGTACACAGTTACATTAAGGATATAAAATGCAGCTAGACTCTTTCCATAACTATGTATTTTATGCCTGTGACAGAATCATCTAGACTCATTAGCGGTTCATTTATGCACCTAACTGCAAAGAAAGTGTAAGGCTTTAATGTTTTCTGTAACATTCGTGTTTCCTTGTTTACCAGATTGTTTACCAAATAAACCTTTCGTGAAAGACCTGTTGTTATAGTACAGTCTCTGTTGTGTGTGAGCCCTTCAAGAAGTTTAAGGGGCAAGTTAACAACTCTGGATTAAAAAACGTTAACATACAATTTATTGCAATTTTTTAGGTGTTGTTGCTCCAACATTCACAGCACTAACCTTTAAGGAGTGACGAAGCAAAAAGAAACATGGAACGACAGACAGGCACATTTATCCGGTCTTCCTGACTGAAACACCCTCACACTAATGTAAACAAATTAGGCTAGCAAACTAGCTTAGGTAACGGAATATTACGCTATTAAGTTTTTTGATGTTACCGCATGCACTATGTAAATAGAAACTTTAGCGAGCTAGACCAACTATAAATACAAGTCGACATACAACTAATTTAAGAGCATTTAGACCACAGGACTTTAAATGTTACCGGCTTTCGTCTAGCTAACAGGAAATGGATCTGTTGATTTCTGATGACGAGTACAAAGAGCTTTTCAAAATAAATGCTCGATGAAAAAAAACAGTACAAATAAATGCTGATACTAATTCTACTATCACTGCTACTACTAATAATAAAACTGATGATGATGACTAATAATAAAATAATATTAACAATAATTCAAAAACTCATGGGAGCAACAACAAACCCGGAATTCAAAGTCATTAAATGTTTTTTTCAAAACAGAAATATAGATCAACCTTGAGAAATCTGTGTATAAACTTATTTGACTTGACCATTAGTAGAGTGTTCTCATGTTATGATATAGAATTTCTTTAAAAATTATTTTTTTTTTAAATTGTTATGGCACTAAAATCAGTAATGATGCTTCTTTAAGGCTTAATTATCCAAATAAGGCTGTTACAGCGTACCAGGCATAAAAAATATGTGCTTGGTTGTGATTTATTTACACAAAGACCATGATTATCCTTCTATTCCTGACAAACAATAATCACATTAAGTATGACTATAATTAATCTATTATTAGTCCCAAAATGAAAGTTAAAAAGAGTGACGCAATTGATAAGGTATGAGTTCTTTATTGAGGGGGGGTGATGGTAGAAAAGGAGCAAACTATGTTTTAGCACCTTTATACAACTTAGAAAATTAATTGCTGGTTCTCTTGGTTCTCCTGATATACACAAAAAAAGGTTTGTAGAACACTTTATGACATATAGGCTTGGAGAAGAAGCATTTCATTCACAGAAACCAAGCAACAGAAATGACTTAATTGAGGGGAAAAAACACATTATATTTAATTACAATCAACATTAAATTTACAAATTTTGGAACCTGGGAGTTTAATCAGTGCACATGACATTAGCATGTAACATAAGTTAAAAACACAAAACAAAATTTTACAAATGTTGTTACCTGGAATTAGAAAGAAAAAAAACCATCTTTAAATACTGGGTGCAGCTGTCTAAGGCATCTTTAATTCATAGAAAAAAGATCTAGAAGTCTTATACAAAGCAGGAATGAAGCTATACAATGTCACATATATATATGTTTTTTTTCCTTAAAACACTGTACAAAGTCCACTTCCTTCAAGGCTGGCTACGCCAACCACAAAACTATGCAGCTTACCAATTTTTAATATCCTACATTTACCGTGTCTGACAGACACGTTTTATTTACATATTCACTCATGAAATACAAACATAAATATGAGCAGCCTCTGTCTCTCTCTCTCTCTCAACGTCACCTTTTTAAAGCACTTTGTTCAAAGTGCTTTGAAAACAAATCGGACTTGAGCTTTTTTGGTCAAATTTCTCTGCTTTGCACAACCTGTAGCAAGCCTGCACCATCTACCAGAAACAAACCTCACTGTGAAGCTGCTCTGCTGGATAATTTGACCAAAAAAAACCTTGTTAAGCAATGACTTAATGTACTTCTTGAAATAACTCCCCGGCAATTTCAGGCTTCAAACTCACTGCTGACTTGTTAGAAAACGGTCAGCTTATCTTCATAACATCAAAATCACTGAGCAAATGTACATTTTCTGTAAAACAAATGAGATTAAAGAAAGTTATATCAGTACTGTGCAGCAGGGCTAATGCTGGTCATCTGTACATCACAAAAACATCTTAAGTGTTAATTTAGAATTAAAGCCATCATATAGCTGGAAAACATTGTGTAACTCATAGAAGGCCTGAGAAAGCTTTATTTTTTCCTGTTTTTTTGCATCTTGTGACATGATTGTCAAGTCAGGCCAAATAATTAAAAGTCTGATCTTATATACAGCAATGCATAGGCTACAATTCATCAAATCTGAACAATGAAAGAAAGACTAAAGTGTAGTTTTGTTCGTTTTTTAAATGAGTAAACTAGGAGAAAGTGTTGGAGGTACCAAATTTTTAGGTTCTTTAGTTTGAGAAGGGTGAACATGTTTCCTGCCACGATGAAACTTGAACTATTCAGGTTAAAAACAGGTAATAAAAGAAGCAGAAATCATTAAGTTTGTCAAAGTTAGTTGTCAACTATGAACATGCAACCATTTAAGAACTCAAATAAAATCAATCTAAAACTAAGACTGGTTTGACTTGGAACTAATGTGATTAATGACTGGATGGCTAAACTTCAGGAGCTATACAAAAATAAATGGCAATCTGATACACAGCCCTAGAAGTAAGTGTACATGTCTTGTTATACATGGTAAATAACCAACTATGTAGAAACAAAGTGTGGACCACAGATGCAAGAGCATGTTTTGCATTTGAGTTATCAACTCTTCTTACTGCTAATATTTCACCAAATTAAATCTTTAGCGTCTAAACTCAGTAAAACTTAGCTCATCAGCACAAGTCTTTCTATGCATTTCTGGGCCATCTCACAAGCCTTTAACAATTTTATTTAATTTTCCTGATATTTGAAACTTCTTGCAGTGCCTGTGTAAAGGTAGAGAATTTTAGGTAGTATAAATACATAACTATCAGACATTTTCCTGATAAACTTGAAAAGAACAATGGTACAGTCTCAAACATTTCATCTATTACACACAACTCATGATAAAAGAGCACCAACTGTCTCAACTCAACAGAGGAAACACCTGGAGCCACCATGAGCAGTGTGTAAATTTTCATTGTTGAATTTTAAGATACTTAATATGTTTCCTCCACATCTTTAGCAACAGCTTCCTCTTTGTGGCTTAAAGAGGTTAGATTCTGCTTTTCCTTTATCCGTTTCATGGTTTACAAAACTCCATCCTCTTTGCTTTGGTGTTCCACAAGGACTAATTCTTGGAGTATTATATTTTCTAATTAATTACCCTTCCTTAAATTTAAACAATCGATTTCCCAACACAATTCCCAACATTAGCCAACTTTGCAGATCGCATCATATTGCTGTATTTAGATCACTACTGGTAACCAGGGACCTACCAGAGCTCACAGAAATGATATACTGTTATAGCTCCAGCACTTCCTTAATTGTGGTCTGTTTGTTTTTTTGTGATTTATTTTTACATTACTGGGGGGGGGGGGCTCACCCTCAATTTCTGAAATTTCTTAATATTCTGTAATAAAGAGTATGAAGGTTTTTGTGGTAGAAGAAAAAACAACATAAAAGAGACTGATGATGTTGGGTTTTCTACAAGTAAAAAATAAGAAAAATCTGTATATGTTCTTCCACCAGAGAAGTAGAGGAGTTCATAAATAATCTAGCAGAGTTAAGCATTTAAATCTAAAGCATTTTTACCTTACAAATTCAGTCACAGTAATCTGTCCACGTGTTCAGACCAAATGGGGAAAAGAAATGTTTAAAAAATGGTCAATAAATTTGCTGAAAGTTTGAAGTCCACCAGGAAGGGTTCCTTTGTACACCACGCTACACAGTGTCCTTGAAGAGTGACAGGGAATCAAGCATTTCATTCTGGAGAGTTTCCCATTGTGGGATAAGTCACAAGCACAATCCCTTGGTCTCATCTCCACTGCCCATCCTTCCTGTAACACAGTTACTTTCTGAGTTTTTGTATCTGTATACCATCTGCTCACAAGTTCTTGGTGTTTATGTGAGTCTTGTAATGCTTTGTCAGGTGGTCGCTCCGCATGAAGCGTTTCTGACACTGGCTGCACTCAAAGCGCTTGTCTCCTGTGGGAGGGAAAAAAATGTATTGAGTAATATTTTTAATGCACGTTCAATAATGAAGAAACAATAGGTGTTTTTAAAAACGTAATTTGTAAAAATGTCTGGATTGTTACGTTTTTAAGTGTATTTAGCAACTCTGTGTGCCTATTTTGCCTCTGTATGTGAAGTGAAGTTTAATACAGAGTGATTTGATGATTCTGTTTGTTTGTGTCCAGAGCACCTGTGTGCGTCCTGGCGTGCCTCTGCAGCTCGTCACTGCGCGTGAAACGTTTCCCACAGAAAACCCAGTTGCAGACGAAGGGTCTTTCACCAGTGTGCAGCCGGACATGAGCTCTGAGCAGAGATGTTTTCCTAAAAGTCTTTTCACAGCCAGGGACGTGGCAGATGTGTTTCCTCTTTCCCACCTCACTGGGTCTAAACAGTGAACAAAATTCAAACCCTTTATCAGTATGAGAGTTTTAATAGTCTGAGTGCTAAAAAGTATAATATGAACTTCCCAAAATGTAGAACTGATCCCAACCCATCCTTTGACAGACTCACCTCTTGTCTGCATCTTTGCAGTTGGGGCAAGTGCAGGCCATGCGTCGTTTCTTTTCTCCTGGCTGGCCAGGCAACTCCAGGGTGAGGGTCTGGTCTACCTGAATAGCAGGCTGGCCCTGTGCTGCGGCCAGCTGGAGCCCTCCACCCTGCATGGTCTGCACCGTTAGGTGCTGCTGGCCTAACAAACGCAGAGACTCATTGTAAGACAAACAGCAGGGCTTCTGCAGGAGCTGGATAATTCAGTTTACTGCCATCAGTGAACTGAAATTCTAATCAACAATAAATTAAGATGCAAAAGCTATATGTTGCAAAATAAAATTTCGTTTTTGTTTTAGAGTTTTTAAACACATTGCAAGCTTTCAGCTGCTTTTGCTCTTTGACTGAGGAAAAGGTCAACATTATTCTTTATTAACATAAATAACTGACAACTGATAAAGTTATTTTATCCATCCGTTTGACTGCTTATCTGGGTTTGGGTTGGAGGGGCAGCAGACTTCCCTCACCCCAGCCACCTCTTCTTCATCTGGACAGACAAAGAGTCATCCCCAAGCCAGCCAACAGATATAAACTCTCTCAGACCCAGGTCTGCTATCTTTAACACCAGACCTGGGTCTGACCTGAGGCCTCTTTCCAGTAGGAGATGCCCAAAACACCCCACTTCAGAGGCATCGATAAAGCATCCTCATCAGACGGTCAAATCATTTTTCAATGTGGAGGAGCAGTGCTTCTATTCTCAGTGAATGTCTTTAGCAGCAATAACATGAAGTAATTGTTTTCTGTATAACTATCAGCCTCTCACATTGTTATGGACGAGTCTGACCGACGCTTCTTTACAAGGTTGCTTCGTTGAGGTTCGTGGACGTGAATTTACACTAAGCTCTCTTAAAGTCTGACCACAGCATTTTAATCAGGATGAGATCTGGACTTTTACGGAGCCTCTGGAACACTTTGAATCATTTCTTTTGCATCGATTTTGTTGGAGATTTGCTGGTGTGCTTGGGTTGACTGCTCATGGTTGACTCAATGACTGCAGGGCATCCAGATCCTGTGGTTGCAAAACAAGCCTCTGCTCCCACGCTTGACAGTTTTTATGAGGTGTCTGTGCTGATGTGCTGTGTTTAATTTTCACCAAATGTGCAACATGAATTATGGCCAAAGGACATTGTTCCACAAGTCTTGAGGTTTGTTCAGATGCAACGTTGCAATTCTTAGCCAGGTTGTCACATTCTTTTTAGAGAGGAGAGACTTTCTCCTGGCAAACAAGTCAGACTTGTCCAGTCCTTTTCTGATTCTACTGCCCCGAACTTTTATCATGGTTTCATATCATAGCTTTTATCATAGTGCAAGGTTTTGGGGTGTTTTTCTAATTTCTCTGAGCATTAGTCGGACCCTGGGCCGTATTTAAAGGGAAGGGAAGTTTGTGGGAAGATTATGGCAGTGAGTTAACACACACCAGACCATCAATCTGCCAAAATCAAGCACATTTGATTAGCAGCACTCGGCTGCTACTTACCTTCTAAACTGCCATGCGAGCAGGAAAGGGTTTACTTCATTTTTTCACAAGACTGCATAAAGTTCGTTGAAAATATTATTTTTCACATGTCTGTAAACTGGTCCACTTCTTGCACAAAACAGAAATGGCTAGGGACTGCTGGTAAGCAGCAACAGAACTTAAGAGAGAGGCGAGTATCCAGTAAAACAACAACTGCAGATGGTGTTCTATTCGTTTAACACAAAAATTACAATTACTTCAAACTTCAATCCAATCCAAGTTCTTCCACCACTGCATTTCCTCAAAATGGGAAATGAGGGTGGTGGGGTCACCTCCCAGTGTGCTGCACACCATGCATGCGCTGCATAAACACCCCAGTGTATTTATCAGTAGTACTAGACAATAACATTGGCTCTATAAACAGCCAGTGGAAAGCTTGAAGAAGAAAAAACAAACAAACCCAAAGCATCTAGCATCAGCTCACCGCCTGCATTGGTGATGGTAACAGGAACTCCCTGAACTTGGACCCCGTTGATGCTGATGGTCTGCACTGCTTGTGCTGCTGAGGTGAGCTGCGATGTGTTCAATTGTATCATTCCACCTGCAGGGGCAATTTTTGCCAAGGTCCGCTCCTTTCGTCCTCCGGTAGCTTGTGTTCTCTTGGAGCCAGCTGGTGGTGCGACAGTGGTGGTAGGGGCAACTGTGGTGGCAGGGGTTGTTGTTGTCATGGAGTCCTGAAGCTGAACCGATTGCCATTCACCTGATGCTGTTTTAAAGAGAATCTGGGGAAAAAAATATCACTAAGTTTACTTAAAATGTTAAACTAATTCCTAGTTAAACTGTTATATTATCTTATGTATGACTTTGACATGTTGCTAGCTTAGTTGTAAGAATGTCACATGGTCCTTTGCTACCGTTCCTGAGGTATTCATAATAAACAGAAGAAGTCATTTTCAGCTGCTTCCTTATTTACAAGGAGTTAGCTCAGCAGGTAGTGCTAGATATTGATTTAGCAGAATTTTACACTGGATGCCTTTCCTGACACAACAGACTAAAAATATTAAGAGTTAAAGAAACAATAAGTCTGAACAGATACCTGTGTTGGTGATGTTTCTGTTGGAGTGACCTGCAGATTCGAGGAGACAGACTGTCTCTGCGGGACGGGTGGCAACGTAGCAGAGGCAGCCTGTACCACCTTCAAAGCCTGTTGTGGGATCTGAACCATCTGAGAATCTGGTTTGGGCTGGACCAGCTGGACCTGTTGCACCATAGCAGGTTGCCCAGGACTTTGCACAATCAGTAAATTGTTCCCTGCCTGTGAATATAGAGAGAAGAAGCTGACCAGTAATCCTCATACGTAGGCTTTAGCCAACATCTTCAATGTTTTGACCACACTGAAAGGCTAAACAGTCATTTAACAGTTAGCTATAGACTGGGTTGAGTGTTTCAAAGTAGAATTTCAAACTCGATAACAATATTGTGGTTTCTGTTTAACTGCGGATTTTATCAATCTGAATTGCACACACATTTACTCGCTTTGGTAGTATATTTATGTCACAGGGAACCTTTTGAGCGTGAAAAACAAAAAGTGGTTGTAACACTAAAAAGACTTTTGTTTTAACCATTTGGTGGCAGAAGAACACATCACAAATTTAAAAAAACAAAACAAAAACAGAAACAAGCTTTGTACCATAAAACAGCTGCCTGCCCAAAACTGAAACTGTCCTGAGGCTAATTAGGAAGCAGACGCTTCTGAAGATGTAAAACAGTTGACAGTTTCCTGTTTTTTTTTTTTCTTCTTTTTTGACTCCTCACAAAAAATGATAACAGGAACAGCAGGTTATTAACATTCATTAGCATACATACATTTTTATTAAGATCAAAAAGTCCCAGTGCTCAAGCCCGGCTTGTATTACAGGAGCACAAACCTTAAGAAGTATACTCTGTGATAAAACAGAATCAGTTACACTTATTTTCAACAAAAAAGAGAGAATTAAAAAATAAAATAACTGATAATTAATTAAATATATATGGCATTTGGGGACTTCTACTTAACATGCAGTAAATGCTAGACTAAGAGCAGTGAGAGTAGATGCCGAGACTGGCTTACATGTCAAACTTGTGTCTGCGTAATGTTATAATTTGACAAACTTTAAATAAAACACTGACAGTTCAAAGAGAACACATATTTAGAAGGGGACCATTAAGTCTGTTTGAAGATTAACTTAAAACAAATAAATCGTGCCTTCGTTTATGCTTTTCAGTACCAGAAACAATAACAAATAGGGGTACCTGTATGATGTTATCACCAGCTTCTATTAGGATGGTCTCCATCTGCTCTGGGGTTGGAGAGGCAGCCTGTGCTGGAGGCGGCGGTGGAGGCTCAGCAGCCAGTACTGCCTTTTTTTTCCTCCCTCGTCGTGCCTTTCCAGGAGTGGGAGGGGCTGCAGCTGTCTCTGTGATGATTTGTGTCCCACCCACTTCCCCTGTAGCCACGTTGAGGGGAATTGTAAGTCCACTGGGCAGCTGCACAACGTTTGTAGCTGTATTGTTTGGCTTCCGCACCTTGAGGGAGGGCTTGATGGCTACGGTCTTCTGTGGCGTGACAGGAGCAGTGGCTGCAGCCGGAGCCGGCATGGTCATGGGAGTGGTAATGATGGCCTGGTTGGTACCGGGTATGAGCTGGATCTGACCTCCCTGTGGCATCACTTGAATGGTTTGTGCACCCTGGATCTGCGGCACCACCTGATACTGGATGCCAGGAGTGGCCGAGGTGCCGGTACAAGCAGGACTCTGCTGGATAGTAAGGACGATGGGGCTGCCAGGAGCTGTGGAGCCCAGGCCAGCAGGTAGCTGGATCACATTGCCCTTTGTTGAAAGGAAACCAAGGTTTTTCGGTGGAGCTGGCGCTATTGGAGCTGGCTTTATAGGAAGGAGCCGGCGAGGTTGTGGCTGCGCTGGCGGAGAGGTGACAGGAGCCTGAGCAGCAGGAGGGCCGATTTTACTGCAGGTGGCAGCCAGCAGAGCCAAAGGAGAGGGCTGAGTGTCCTGTGGGAAGACAGAAACATAGTCCAAGCCTGCATTAAAACCAGCCTGAACAAGAAGAATTCAGCACTAAGGGAACGATAGGATGAGGTAGTAGTCAGATCAAAAGCTAAAACAAAACAAGTTAACACAACCCAACAGGTAGGCCTACAACTACACATTAAGAATCATAATCAGCAGCGATCAAGTGGTGTAGTAGGTGTAGGAGTTTCCACCTGCGATGCCTTTGTGCCCCTCTTTGGTCCAAATGTGTGATCATCAAGCTGCAGGACAGGGAAGCATTCTACATTAATGCCATCTTCAGCACACTTTATATACACTGGACCGCTTCATGTATTTGAGGCAACAAACGGGTTTAAGTTGGGACTAGGAAGGTTGATACAACAAAAGTGAAAAAGGTTTAGTGACTACTGGTGCAAGACACAAAGCGATGTCATTAGTATTTAAATTCCCAATTGTGCAGTTGTGTCTCTCAGATATTGATGAACATCGAAGCAAAACAGTGACTGAATTTATAGAATATATTGTTTTTGTTAGAAAAATATAGCACATCAGCTCTATCCTGGCACATAGAGAAGTGAGGGCCGCTTTTCCATTTCCAAACTATACTAGTGCAAGAGCACCGAATCTGGATCTAACCTCATCTGAGAAAGTAATGATAATGCTGCCATAATCCATAATTAGTGGGCGTAAGGGTCCAGATAACAGCGGTAAGTTAGAACAGTTGACTGGTTCTTTATCATTTGTTTAAATGTCTCTGGGGGGGTTTTCCAGTCAAAGCAGTTTTAAATTTGACAATAAACTTATCATGACATCTTAACTTACACAGTGTCGTTTTTGTATGTATGTTAATTTCAAAATTCTACGCGGCCTTGTTCTCGAGTTATTGCATTCACAAGATTTTCAGAAAACTTAACCACCGAGATTTTTAGTAGATGCACCTATGGTATTCACTCAAGTTATCGCATTCACAAACTTAGGTGTCCACACTGCCCGCCAGGCAGGGTAACAACAGTACTCCATCAGCCTTTTGCAATTGAGGGTTAAAAAACACTCAATGCTTACAATGCACTAAACATCAAAGGAATTCTACAGAAAAATAAACACACAGTGTATATTAGCACAAAGATATGGCAGCAATATGAACACAACAGATGTTAAGAGCAACAGTAAGAGAAGAGATTGCAACAGTGCAACATGCGTGCACAGCCGAGGCTTGTGGCTGCTACTCACTTGTGTTGAAGCAGAGGAGGGCTGAAGGTATTCGCTGGGACTGACAGCGACAGTGGTAGCCATACTGTCCTGTTGTTCTGAAAAAACGCACAGCAGAGAGATTTCAGGCTGCCTGCAGCAATGGTTAAGCTATTCAAGGGTATCACAGGACATTGCAACAAAACAGAAGAGCTCTGTGAAGGACAAGCCATGCAGTATCTCACTTAAACTGCTATATGATCATTAAATGTCATCAATTACACAAATGATGCCATTAACTGCGCTAATTAACGCATTCATTTGCATGCTGACACTTTCATTTTCACCAAACATGTGGGATATTTATATGACTCACATCTCTTAAAGGATTCAGGAATGACAGAGTTGTGCTTTTTTGTTTGTTTGTTTGTTTTTTGAGGTTTCGAGAAAATATTTTCCCTCCAATATGTTGACGATATTAAAAATATTCAACTCACGCATGTTATTAGCAGAGTCATTAGAAGCTATCTGTCAAGAGTCAATATATCATGTTGTTGTTGTTGTTGTTGTTAAATCACCATAATTGCAATTTGCATGAGTCAGCCACATTTACCAGTGACAGAGATGGGAAACAAATGCTTTTCCTTCAAAGGTTTCTATGTTTTCTCTATTTTTGTCCAGAATCTACTCCACATCTATTCCACATATTAAATTTAAATAAGTCATTTATTCAATTTTCTCGGTAACTTAGTGGAGATTTTGTATATTCACACACATTAAACTGCATCAATAACAGAATTATAAAGGAATACAAAATTTCCACTGTGATGGAATATACCACAAAGAGCTAACTGGCCAAAATAAATAACATAAACAATGCAGACGATCTCTAAAGCCTGCTCTGAAAAACAGTTACCACTAATGCAAAGCAGTGTACGGAACTGAAGCTTTAAAGTTTTCCAGTACGTGGGGAATAATGCAGACATCTACTGATCTGTTTGATAAATGTACACGGTTCTTTTAGGTACTGCAGCACATCTTTTGCTATTTGACTTGTTTTTGATCCAGTCTAATATAAACTTAGGTCATTAACCAGATCAAAATTTAGTCAATCGAGAAAGAGCTGTGATACCTGTACTTCATAAACTTAACAAGTTGTGTCTGCCAGAGGTTGTGTGTGTTCTAACAGCAAATGTCAATCTACTGGCCACATGTCAAATACTCTGAGCAAAAAAAAAAATACATTGGACTGCGCTCAAAAATATTATATGAGAAAAAGACAGTAAATATATTGAGCATATTATATTTCCATTTCAACAGTTAGCATAAGTACATTTAGGGCAGGCTGCCCAGCAGCAGTTTCAGAGCAGGATAAATCTTGAGAGCCAAGCAAAGCAGCCTAATGGCCAAAATAGGTCGATGCTGTTATTGTCAAACAGAACTGCTGTGGAACTGTGGATAAAGCAATGCAAGCTGTTTTACTATCCATTACTGCTTGAACTACAACACAGCTAGTGCACACAATACAATCTCCACTTTTTAATAATTTATATAAATTCAAGAACAACACACAAATATGCAATTTAAAAGCCAAGGGATCTGTGACAGATTCAAATATTTTGATTTGGGATTTTATAGAACAGAAATACTCGCAGGCATTTTTAACATCTATTAACAATAATGACAAATGTAAAACGATAAACACTACTGGGACAGTAGTCCAGTACTGTCCCCTAACCCCTGTTGAGCTACATATCTAAGCTGGAAAACACCTGAACTCAACCAGCAGATAAGATATATGACCACATGGTAGCCACAGATCACTCTTCAGGCTGTCCCGATATTTGTGACAAATACACAGGATGATGATAAAGAAGTGATTCATCATCATAGATCTGCAACATGCAGATTTGTAAGCCAATGGCCATATTTTATATAAATGTATAAAACAAAGTAAGATGAATTAGAGCGGTGTCCTTTCATCATGATAAAAAAATGATTGCACAAGTGTGTATATGTAAATTAACACAGATACTGCAATAACATTGCCACCAACACTTGTTTGGAGTTGTAATGTTTGGGGCTTAGTTATTCTCTGCCTGCTCTAACAGGTGTTATAAATTATGAAACAGGTTTGTGGTTGCCTGTCTTTGAAAGCATGTACCTTCACCACAGTTTGCAGAGAAACAACTTAGTTTCTTTGTAAGAGTGCAAATGCAGCTTTCTTCAAGAACTTATGTAGTTCAGTGATCTTTCTTGTCTTCACCCTTTGCACAGCATTTCTGTCCACACACGTAAAACACAAAAATGCACAAGTATTACAATGATCATTTATTGAACTTCTCTTACATTTTTATTGAGGAAAATGATGTTGCAATACACCCATCACTAAAACATTAAAAGCACTGCCATTACGTGCTACAATTCAAGGTTCTGCAGTGAAACTTTAGTTCCTGGTACTCGTGTGGGTACTTTGACTAACTTTGTTGCACACCAAGAACACAGGCCACACCTTTGACATCACCCTGCAGAACAACACACCCTGCCACTAAAATACAAATAAAAAACTCTAAGGAACAAAAAACAGACATGCAAGGCACCCTGATCTCATTCCAGTTAGGCATCCTGACCTAGGACAGCCTCACTCCAAAACCAATGCACTGGATCTGTCACCAACATTCCAGTGCCTGACACCACAAGTGTAATAATATTCCATAAAATAGCATTCCATACAATGCCGACGTCAGACAATAACTTGCTAGTTATGAGGAAATGCCTGAAGTAGAAATTCCTCTTTTCTACAAACTGTGCCGTCTGTATCTGCCAGCTCATCTGTCGACAGTAAACTTAAGCCTGACACACAATAAACTCATCTCTGTGTCGTGGCTGGTGATCAGCTGTACAAACAGGAAGGAGTTCCTCTGTTGGAGCTGCCTGCCTCATCTAGTAAAAGCATTATAAAATGCAGCTGTTAATCGAAACGTCTGAACATGACTACCAAAGCAACAGACTTTCACTCGGGGATATCTCAGCCTGCTGAGCGAGCCACTAATCTCTCCATTCTGACACATTTTGGATTGGTGATAGCAACAAAGAACAGAACTTCCCATCAGTTATGCAAGTGTGACTTTAAGTCCTGCAAATAACACAAATGGGGGAAAAGTGCGGCCTCAAAATAGCGCCGCCATGCAACACAGTCTGTTAGGTTGGCTTGCAGAGCAACAGCAGCTAACGTTAGCCACCAAGCTAGCTAGTGCTACTGACTCAACTGAGGCAGACTCAAATGTCTATCGACTAGCTTATATATGTGCTGGTTTGCTTTGATAAAAATAAATGAGGCGAGACGGGAATGGGTGCAACATGAAAATATGTCGGTGTATTGCTGTGGGGTTTCATATGTGGTGGAAATGGACAAATCGATTTGGGGGCAGAAACAAGTAAAGGACCAGCTACATAGCTTCCAGTAGCATTTTGGCTAGCTGACGCGTAGCTAGCAAGTCAAACTCTCTTTGATAACGTTACAGAAAAAGGGAGCTCTTTGCCGGAAGTGCACTGCTTATTTTGGTACATACAACCGCACGAACACCCCTAAAACATAGTTATTTGTACCACAGCATGATTAGTGCTTTCCCTTCAACGCAAATATAATGTTTTACGAAGTAGAATGTAATATAAACACCAATGTTTTAATTCCTACCCACCGCTCATGACGACATTCGCTCTCCGCGAGCCTTGCAGACCGAACCCATGGAGGAATCCGCCCGCGCTGTTGCACCAATCCACGGACAATAGAGAGTTAATTGACGTCTACCCCGACCAACTACCTTTAGCTGTCTTTGTGACCGAAGTCCACCTGAGCCAATCCCGACGTCATATTTCTGTACATGGGTCGATGGATGACCGTTTGGCCAATGGGATATCTAGATTGTGATCAGTGGGGCGGTTCCAACAGGACTGACCTGGAACAAGCGAGTGCCCTATTACAGCAGGAGCACTGCTTCACTGACGTCCCTGACGGCCAATGTGATCTTTAAGGGGCAGTACAGTCAAACTAAGAATGACAGCCGCGCTGATCAATGAGCTTTAAGTCACTTGTGCCTGACCTGTTTAAACTGTGGCACGATATGGAGCGGGACGTTATGTGGGATAAAGACTGCGCTCAGTGAATGGATTATACATTTATTTTAAAGCTGTGAGCATATGTTGCATTGATAGTTCAACATTTGTCTGTACAGTACAGGATATCACTACCAGCCTACTTTGCACAGCTTTGTATATTGTACATTTTAGATGTATTTATGTTTTGGGTTTTTTTTTTGACAATGTTGGCCTGTTAATGGCTTAATTACTGTTTGTTTAAAGGTCCACTCATGCAAAAATGTACTTAACACACAAAAAAGATGCCTGGCTAAAACATGTATGACATGTCTTTTATCTTATCCTGTTGTTTTCAACACAGCCTTCACAATAGGCTGTAGTTTTACCCTGAAAAGCACTTTGACATTTAGCTCTCTGCTTGTGTGGTAACTGCTAATGCAATAGAGGATGCAGCATTCAAGTCATTAGTCCACCAATCTATAGACTGCAGACTATAATGATTGTCAGGTGATGAGACAATGGCCCTGTTGACACATTAAAAGCACATTACTCTCTTTGTTGTCTTTTTGCTTTTGACCTCTTTGGATGTATTTGTGTTCCTTCCTGCATATCTTTTTCAGTAGTTTGATTTGTCTGCTTCACCATAGCGCTTCATGTTTTGTTTTTGTTGTTGTTGTTCTTTGTTTTAATCTTTGTAGACTTTGTGCCTTTTTACTGTCCTTTTGGTTTTTGTCTTCTGATAGACACAATTGATTTGTGCTAATATAATCACATTAGCTGACCCTCTCTGTGGCTGATTTACAACTCTTTCTGATCCAATTTCTGTTTTGCACAGTTTTATTGATTTGAGTCTATTACTACACAGAAGAAGAAAAAATCCTACTCTCTTTAATCTTTGATTGATCTCTGATACTTGGCTCGATAAAAGACTCAACTCACTCAAATGAAATTATGCTGTATATTTGCATGTTGTCTTTGTGAGCATGCACAGATATATAGGATTTCTGCAGTGATTCTTCGTAAGATTATTTTTGTAACTTTTGTGATGCATTGTCTTTGGATCTAGTGCCATCATCAGGTGAGTATGTTATCTAAATATTTCAGTAAGTGAGGAACCAGCTGGATTGTTGTAGAATATATTAGGGGAGGCAGAAATGTAGAGTGATTGTGAACATTAAGCGACACAGTTTTACTGTTTTACTTTTAACAAGCACATATTTGGCTTACAGTGTTGAACTCCAATTATATTTTTACTGGCAAAAACATTTTTTTTGTATAAAGCAAATAAAGCTCTTAATACTGTAGCTGAAACTTCTACTTGAATATTTTATTTCAGAAAATATCTGGTGTAGGATACTAAATTGTCATGACCAGTGTCTGTAAAACAAATTCCATTTTTACATTTATGTTAAACATAACACCCAGCACGCCCCTGTGGGCGGTTTTATCCTTCAAGCTCGGGTCCTCTACCAGAGGCCTGGGAGCTTGAGGGTCCTGCAGTATCTTAGCTGTTCCCAGGACTGCGCTCTTCTGGACAGAGATCTCCGATGTTGTTCCCGGGATCTGCTGGAGCCACTCGCCTAGCTTGAGAGTCACCGCACCTAGTGCTCCGATTACCACGGGGACCACCGTTACCTTCACCCTCCACATCCTCTCGAGCTCTTCTCTGAGCCCTTGGTATTTCTCCAGCTTCTCGTGTTCCTTCTTCCTGATATTGCTGTCATTCGGAACCGCTACATCGATCACTACGGCCGTCTTCTTCTGTTTGTCTACCACCACTATGTCCGGTTGGTTAGCCACCACCATTTTGTCCGTCTGTATCTGGAAGTCCCACAGGATCTTAGCTCGGTCATTCTCCACCACCCTTGGGGGCATCTCCCATTTTGACCTCGGGACTTCCAGGTTATACTCGGCACAGATGTTCCTGTACACTATGCCGGCCACTTGGTTGTGGCGTTCCATGTATGCCTTGCCTGCTAGCATCTTGCACCCTGCTGTTATGTGCTGGATTGTCTCTGGGGCATCTTTACACAGCCTGCACCTGGGGTCTTGCCTGGTGTGATAGACCCCAGCCTCTATGGATCTTGTGCTCAGAGCTTGTTCTTGTGCTGCCATGATTAGTGCCTCTGTGCTGTCTTTCAGTCCAGCTTTGTCCAGCCACTGGTAGGATTTCTGGATATCAGCCACCTCCTCTATCTGCCGGTGGTACATACTGTGCAGGGGCCTGTCCTTCCATGATGGTTCCTCGTCTCCCTCCTCTTTCTTGGGTTTCTGCTGCCTGAGGTATTCACTGAGCACTCGGTCAGTTGGGGCCATCTTCCCAATGTATTCTTGGATGTTCGTTGTCTCATCCTGGACTGTGGTGCTGACACTCACCAGTCCCCGGCCCACTTCCTTCCGCTTAGCGAACAGCCTCAGGGTGCTGGACTTGGGGTGAAACCCTCCATGCATGGTAAGGAGCTTTCTTGTCTTTATGTCAGTGGCTTCTATCTCCTCCTTTGGCCAGCCTATTACCCCAGCAGGGTACCTGATCACGGGCAGGGCGTACGTGTTGATGGCCCGGATCTTGTTCTTACCATTCAGCTGACTCCTCAGGACTTGCCTGACCCTCTGCAGGTACTTGGTGGTTGCAGCTTGTCTAGCGGCCTCTTCATGGTTCCCATTTGCCTGCGGGATCCCCAGGTACTTGTAACTGTCCTCTATGTCTGCAATGTTGCCTTCTGGTAGTTCAATCCCCTCAGTTCTGACTACCTTCCCTCTCTTTGTTACCATCCGACTACACTTGTCCAGTCCGAACGACATTCCAATGTCATTGCTGTATAGCCTGGTAGTGTGGAACAGTGAATCGATGTCTCGTTCACTCTTGGCATACAGCTTGATGTCATCCATGTACAGGAGGTGGCTGACAACTGCTCCGTTCCGTAGTCGGTATCCGTAGCCAGTCTTGTTAATGATGTCACTGAGGGGGTTCAGGCCTATGCAGAACAGCAGTGGGGACAGAGCATCTCCTTGGTAGATCCCGCACTTGATGGTGACTTGTGCTATGGGCTTGGAGTTGGCCTCTAGTGTTATATATATATATATATATATATATATATAGAGAGAGAGAGAGAGAGAGAGAGAGAGAGAGAGAGAGAGAGTCATTAGTCATGACACATTAACACTGTTTTGAACTAATTTCAGAGCTTTCTGTCACAACGACAGAGAATAGATCATTGTGACATCCAAACATTATTTAATGGTTTTAAATGTCTTGTTTTCTTCCTATGACTAATACAACCGTGTCATCAAAACACAATCTGAAAGTGTAACCTTCATTTTTGCATTCTTACCTTTAGCTTGTTCAAACACTGACTGGTTCCTTTGGGATCTGAATACTAAAGATTAGGGACTTTCCTTTTTGGCTCATGTCATGATGCCATTCACTCTCTGCGAGCATTTTATACCTTTTCTGTCGGATGTTCAACTTGTTAAGAAAATGTCCCCATGGTGGCTGTCAGGCCCATCTGTCGTCTGCATCAGCCGAGCTGGCCCCCAGCACTTTCAGCCAGCTTGTAGGCTACTATGAGCTGGCCTTCTTTCCCATTGACTCCATTCACATCCACAATGCACGTAATGCCTTTTCATATAGGCTTTTCCCAAAAAGTACCCTTGACCTTATTCACATACAGATCTCTTTCATTTCTTCCCAGTCTGTCCCTGCATCGCTGCATGAGTTTTTTAAGAGCTTAGGAAACCGGAGTCCTGCTTTTAGTTAAAGCACTCTCTCCCTCTTCACCTCAAGTGTGCTGTAGTTGGCTTGATGAAGGATGCAGATACTGTCTCCCACCTTCTCCCCAGGCACCTCTGTGGAGAGCCTCAGAGAGAAAGTGCTGCATAATTTAACTGGGACATCTCACTTTTATCAGTTAACAGGCTTCATGAGCCAAAGCTGTGGCAGGAGTTTTCAGCCTATTTCAAAGAGAATAGCTGACATTAAAAAATGAAGCACACTCTACATTAAGAACTCAAAGCCAGAAGCTGTGAAGCAAGGGACGTGATGTTGTGACGGGTTTTTAGCCTTTTTGACATTTTATAAACAAATGGTTTATATACAGAATGTAAGCAATACTTGCTTACTTAATTTAAATTGTTTTATTTAATTTGGATCACAGTAGCTATTTAAGTTCACTTAGTTATATTCATACACACTTTATATATTGTGCATGCTTTAGTCACTTTGAGGCAGTTTTGTTATTCAGGGTTGATGTTCAAATGACTAAAAAAACAATGTTGCAATAATGAGGTGGTTTGCTGGTCACAGAAACACACACAACACAACCAGATGTCGGTGCCGGTATGACTTAACCATTCACATTGATATTTTAAGAATTTATTTATCAACTGTTAATTATTCATGAACTAAGGGTGTTTAATTAAAATTTAAATTGAATTTTGAGCTTTATATGTTGGTATATTCATTTCATGTAATTCATTAAAAACAAAAACAAATAATATTATTATTACTAATAATAATAATAAAACAGTCTGCACAACAAATTCAAGCATAAAAATCTGAACCTCATCATAAGCGGGTATGCATAATAGCTATAAAGGGCTGGATCAGGTGACCCTATATCCTCCCTTAGTTACGCTGCAATAGGTGTAGGCTGCTGGGGGATTCCCATGATGCATTGAGTATTTCTTCTTCAGTCACCTTTCCCACTCTCTGTTTATAGAGCTCTCTCTGCTGAGAATCATACTTCCACAGCATGTCTTTATCCTGTCTTCCTTCTATCACCCCAACCGGTCGCAGCAGATGGCCCCGACCTTCCCTGAGCCTGGTTCTGCTGGAGGTTTCTTCCTGTTAAAAGGGAGTTTTTCCTTCCCACTGTCGCCACAGGGCTTGCTCATAGGGGGTCATATGATTGTAGGGTTGTTCTCTGTATGTATTGTTGTAGGGTCTACCTTACAATATAAAGCGCCTTGAGGTGACTGTTGTTGTGATTTGGTGCTGTATAAATAAAATTGAATTGAGTAATGGCACAATGTCTTGTTCTCTTAAGCTGATGTTAATTTCTTTATAGCAGGTTTTCCTATTTTATAAATAATGTCATCAAATTTTATAGTGGAGCAGATTTATTTAAAGTGAAAGTTTTTGGAGGGTTTTCTACAAAAAGAAAAAAACCAGATTTTGCTGAGCAGGCACATTTATCCATAAACCCTGTTAAGACAAAACTGTCGATCTGTCATTAATGTCATAGTTATGCCAAAGCAGTGATAATATTAGTGGTAATAATATTAGTATGTCAGTTAGGTCTCAGTATGCCAAGATTGAATTTTTCCTACTTTTAGTTTGTGTATCACAGCCTCGCACAATGACCAACAATTGCTAACTTTAAATAAAATATATGGAAAATATATAAACAGCAGATTGGCTTGTTGTTTCCAAATCTTTCAGTGATATTAATTAGTTTTATTAAATTAGTTAATTAGTTTTCCATAAACCAAAATAAAATTCAAAATGAGCTAAAGTTAGATCCCATCAATATGTTTACTGAAATATTTTCAGTCTGCTTTCAGTGAAAATACTCAAATTGGGGGGAAAAATGCCACACACCAGAGTTTTTTGTTTCCTTTTTACTGGAAAAGCCAGTAGCCAGCTTCACGGTACTGAGAAACAGAATGAGGAAAATACACCTGGGCATTTCAACAAATAAAACAAACAGGTAGAGAGCAGTTATAGGAGGTATACACACTGAGAGGCAGGGCATTTTGGCAATAATCAAATGTTCCCAGATTCAATAATTTCAGTTCAGATGAATCTTTCATTTCAGTAACTGAAAATATCTACCCTAAAGCAGGAAAACCCCCACATCAAATACCCGTTAGTATCGTAAACCAGTTTTCCGAGGACGTATTTTCTCTTTGGTGTAATTTCACTATTTCTGTATATATCTGTCTGAACATGAACAGCACCAATGTGAAGTCAACTGGGTCTTTTAAAAGCAACAAATACAGGAGTTTAAATAGACCCGAATACAATGCATTGGGAGAAGTAAGGGCGTGTGAAATCAGTGACAACCTTTACGTTCATTTACTTAATGAACTGTAGTAATGGCTGTCTCTTTACATCGTGGCTCAGTAATCAAAAATAAAGATAATAACTCTATATGTTTTAGGCATTCTTGGCAGAAGACAAGGCAAAAACATGAATCAACAGAACCCAGAGCATAGCAGAAACTGCTATAAGCCAGCACCTGTGGGGGTCATTTCTCTGTGATTTAAATTACAGCAACAAAAACAACCAATTTTATGGCATTAGACATTTTATTGTGTTTTTGGGGGGGCGCTTAGGGAATAATGTGTTTACTATTATGTGATATTTTATACTCTGAAAAATCTGTCAAGTATTTAGTGGGCAATATAAACGCTTTTTGTTTTTACCTATTAGAGGAGAACAGCCTAAGACTGCATACCTCTAAAAGCAAAACATTTCCTCCGCACCAAGCATAAATTGACTCTGAATGCTTTCAGAAAAACTTTATACATATAGCAGTCACTTTTTAGCTAAACATTGCTAGCACCAGGTTGGACCCTTTTTGCCACTAGAACTGTCTTAATTCTTCGTGGCACAGATTAAAGAAGGTGCTGGCAAACATTCCTCAGAGATTTTGGCCCATAACATCACACAGTTGCTGCATATTTGTCAGCTTCACATTTATGCTGCAAATCCAAAAGGATTGGAGGGCGTTTGAGCGCAGTCAACTAATTTTCACGTTCAGAAAATCCGTTTGAGGTGCTCTGAGCTTTCTGATATGGTGACCATGGTACACCATGGTCACAAAAGGATTGACATGGTCAGCAACAATAATCAGGTAGCCTATGTAATTTAATAGATGCTCATTGATACCAAGGGGCCCAAAGTGTGCTAAGGAAACATATCTCAGACTATTACATCACCTCCCCCAGGCTGAACCGTGCCTACAAGACGGGATGGATCTATGCTTTTATACTGCTTACACCACATTTTGACCCTCGTCATTCAACTGTTGCAGCAAAAATTCAGACCAGGGAACATTTTTCCAATCTTTCCATTTTTGGTAGACGAATGCAAATCGTAGCCTCAGTTTGCTGTTTTTAGACAGGAGTGACACCCAGCTTCTCAAGGTTCAGCGTGTTGTGCATTCAGAGCAATTTCCCTCTGCATACCTATATTGTAAAACATGACTATTGGAGCAACTTTAAAGCAGAATGGCAATTTCCTCTAACCTCTGGCATCAAAGAGGCATTTATAGCAGCTCACTGGATATTTTCTCTTTCCTTTTTTTCTGTGAACCCTAGAGATAGTTCCCCAAAAGTTAATTCTGTTCATCTGGACGTTTTCAGTGGGAGAAATGTTTCGTCACTCGTCCAAGTGACTTCTTCAGTCTCAGCAGACTGCAGGTTTCCCCAATCTTATAAACAGTACATTTGCATAATGACTGAAACTAGCTCCACTGAAGGAACAATGGGCTGTGAGATAGACCTAGACCTAGAGATAGTTGTGTGAGAGATGGCCTGTCTGGCACCAACAAAGAAATCACATTTTTCCCCCATTCTGATGCTCAGTTTAAACTTCAGCAGGTGATAATGACCATGTCTATATGCCTCAATTCATTCGAGTTGCTGCTATGTGATTGGCTGATTAGATATGTCTTAATGGGCAGTTAAACAGGGGTACCTAACAAGGTGGCCAGTATGTGGACCCAGATTAGTTTAGGATGCTGTCTTAAGAAGATCAAAACAGTGTCTACCATGTTCTTATTTCAATTAAATAGATATTTTTAACAATATGACACAAAACGTCACAAAAAAATCCCTACAAACATCCAGTGATGACTATATATTGAAATGCCTATAGAATAAGCATACCAGCTGCCTTCTAAATGGTTGCTCATAAGCAACACTTACACTCAGCAGCTCTGACTACCAACAGGTAAATCTCTGGGGACCATAGGCTTGCCAACACAAACAAAATGAGGATAGCACTTTTGGTTTCCTGGTAGCTACCGCAGATGAAATCGTAGACAGTATCATATTGTGCCTATATTGTTGAGAGGCCAAAGACAAAGAAGACTTAAAGCAAAACAGCTTGTATCTCAGAATAAACTCAATGGGTTTTAGCACTCAAAGCTCATAGTAGGTTCACATAAAGTAACAACAGTTGGCTAGCTATTTACCCAATAGAAGTGGGTGTTTGTTTGTTTTTTAAAAACAAGGAGTCCAGTTTAGAAAGTTGGGTTATAGCGAAAAATGCCTATTGCCACTTTTAAAAAATAGCTGGCACACTGATTAATGTATAATAGTGAAAATAACCAGTGCTGGTTGCTACAAGTGAAAGCCACAGTCAATACTCTTAATATATTCCATATACAACTTATACAACTTGAGGAGTTCCTCAAATTGTGTCATATAACATTAGATGAGTTTAAATAAAATGAAGAAATTTAATCACGGGATTTTAAAAAAGCAAAAAACGTTTTTTTAGCTGATTCATAGGGTCCAACTTTTGGGGTTCAGTTTCAGATGATGAAGACACCAAATGATTTGACAGGCCTCTGTGGCCCTGCCTCTGTGTGTATACCAGCACTGAGGACATCTTTTAATCCAAAATCCCTTTTTTTGACAAAATGGAAGGAAAAACAAGGAAATGGCAGCAAACAACAGTTGTACAAATTGACCAGTGCATTGTGTTTTAAAAGTCCATTTCAACAGGTTCAGGAAATTGAGTTCATAATTCAGGCTCTGTTTTTGTGCCTGTCGACATGTTTTCAGGTGAGCGTATCTCTACAGTCCCTCCTCAGAAGTCACTGAGTCCACTGCATATGCACCACGATTCAACTGCAAGCACACATCATTCCTCTCATTAGTCCAAATCCACACATAGGAGGATCCATCCCAGTCACATTGGACACACAGATTTCCAGGGACTCTGAATGGCCGATGCTGGAAGACTGGTAGACCAGTACAGACAGTACAGTCCTCCACAGCAAAACCTGGAGATGAGGGTAAAACTATGTATATTAATGCTTTATATTAAGATTTCACCTGAGCATCTCAGTCACAGGATCAAAACATCGTTGGATTAGAACAGTACTATTTACCACTCTAGAAATCAACAGCATGCTGTTGATGAACTAACTCACTCAAGCTGAGAAGAGCTCTGCTGCTACGTCTGCGACTCGGCCTCCTGCCCTACTCCCACTACCCTCCGGATGCTCTTGATTGACAGGTACATCTCCTCCTCAGGGTCATAGTAATAAAACTTACTCAGGTAGGAGATCAGCGGTCTGGAAAGAGGTGAAAACACAGGCAAAAAATCAGTATCAAAATCAAAAGCTGGATTACTGAATGTAGAGATAAAGAAACAGAACAGAAGACACAAAAGTTTTAAACATCAACACAAAGAATAAATGAAAACCAATCCAGGATTTTTCAAAATATCTCAGCTTTTGGTTGGATACCAATGAAACTATGCTAACACATACTGTTTTTATGAAAAACAAAATGTACCGCCTTTTTCTCTACCTGAATCATGTGGTTGGAGGTTGCTAGGTTAAAAGATCTATAAGTGAAAACCCATCAATAAAGAGTCTGTTAAAACCGTTCCAACGCCTTGGAAAACAGCAGCATTATTCAGGATGCTGGCTTTCCACTCCTGTATATTTCAGCAAGTATATTTCCCAGTTGAAACTGAATACCTCGGCAGTGGAAGCTCTTGGATGTGGTCGATGCGGACTATTTGTCGGATGCAAAAGCGACAGAGATGTTGAAGTGACTTCACGTTGCTGAAGCGAGACACAGGATACAGCAGCTGAACCGGAGTGGGAGGTAGTCCTGGGACAGAAAGAAACATTTTACTCAGTGAAACATTTTAATTTGCCCTTTCCCAATTTTGCTTTGGGCACTCTGGTGGCCCAGTGACTAACATGTAGGCGTCCTTCACAGACTTTGTGTCCTCTTGTCAACTGTTGTGCCTGTAGCTTAATGGCCAAAAATTCTTACAAAAACCTAGTTTTATTTGTTTTGAGACTTGCAGGACTTTTCTTAAACGAGATGCTGGTTTCCAGCTTCATAATTTTATTCTTGGAATCTACTAGAGCAGCATTTTATTTACAGTTAATTCTTATTTATTGTGTACTTTCATGGCTTTGGGATGGTGTATCAGTTCATCCAACTCTCCTTCGGCTCTTCCCCTTTAAGTCAGCTTCTCTTAGTAAACAGGATATCTGATCTCACTGGCATCACGCAGACACAGAAGTAGATCAAACTGTGTGAAACTCAGTGCTCAGAGCAATGTGAAGTATAAACTTCTGGATTACAGGGATTGATTGTACATACACTTCTCTATCAGCATAGGCATCCACCGCTTCAACCTCAGACCACTTCGACACAACTCACAAATGAAGATCATTTCTGTGGAGCGATGCTTTCAACTAACCTGTTGCATGTGAGTCAAGTATTCGCGCTCTTTTAGCTCCATTTTTGGTCTCTACAGACGCCTGAGGGAAGTACCCGTCTCTTTAGCTGCTAAAAGCAATAGATTTTTGGAGCTTTTGCTCTGGCTGAAAATTATATTATCGTGGGAATAGGAATTAAATAAAACAGTAGAGTTGTAGCTGTACAGGGAAGCAATGAGCTGAAATTCAATATAAAGCTCCCTAAAGCCCATGGTAGAAGCAGATGCAGCTGGTCCGTTACTACAAGACTCCTCACACATTTGATGCATGTGAATGTATAGATTATAGGCTCTTTAAGCAGCCTGATTCTGTCATGTTTAGCAAAGATTATTCAGACAGGTGTAAATGAAGTATTTGCTAGACTAGTAGAGGAGCAATCCACAGGAAATTGGTGCTCGGTGAGTATTTCTAGCTCAAGATTTAGTTTAATATAAATATAACAGTAAAAGATTCGTTTCAATCTGACTCAGTTATGTCTGATAACATTTTGCACAGATATATTTCCCAATCAGAAGATGCTACCTTACTTATTGTCATTTAGGTGTGATGCAGTAAACTACAGTGAATTGTGCGATATAGCTTGGCCTGAGGTCCACATGCATCACATCTGTGTCGGCATGATTCTCATCAGGGGTAAATCTGCTCACGGCTCAAGGATATGTGTATAAATCGCACAGGTGGATGCAAAGGATACAATAGCATACAGTTACACTGTAGTATACACAAACTAGTGCAAATTTACTGTAAGACATAAATGACCAGATACCTTCACATGAGCATGATGCAAAACCTGAATGTAGACATAAAAATGGTACATATATAGCTATTCTCTCCTCTCCTCCCGGTCTCTCAGGCACTTCTCACTAAGGGGTGATTCAAATGTTTTTTGATCAGTTGGAGCTGGGTGTTGATATAAAGCCTGTGTTGTTTCACCTGGGACTCTGGAGCGGAGGAAGTAGAGGAATTTCCCATTTTTGGAGTGCATGATGGCTCGCTCGATGAACTCCACCACAGAGTGACAGCGGTCCTCAAACTTCGGGTGACACCACAAACTGAACGTCCCTGCAGGCAATAAAAGAGGAATAGTTTCCTGTATGTACTGTATCATGTGTACTTTTTCAATATCTATAAATCGTACCCACATGAGTAACGTTTTTATAAATGCAACTGAGATGAAACTGTTCCTGGATAGTTCTAAAGAGACTAAAGAGAACAAAAAATAAAGCTACACAACAGGAAATTTCCATCAGCCTGTGCAGCTTTAAGATGTAAATCATGCTCTTTAGGTCCTGGAAATAATGCAACTTTAAAGGTAAAGTTCACCACTAAGTCACTTTCACATACATTTCTACTGGCTTGAAGCGCTATTTATCCTTTTAGATGGCTTTGATGTGAGGTGCCCAGTTTAGTAGAGCTTTGTGGAGCACGAGGGGCCAGAAAGCACAGTGAACACACTCAGCACCATTGCAGAAATCATGACAAAGTTGCTCAGAAAATCCAGAAGCCTTTTCGTAAACAGTTTCATGCAGGAGTTGTTTACTTTCTACTACCAAAAAAGGGCATGCAGCTAGCAAACATTACAGCTGTCACACTGTTGTGCATATGAGCCTCTGATCACAGGGATACGCAGGCCTCATGCTGCATAGTAATACAGCCGGCAAGTTAAAAAAAAAAGAAAGTGTCATGGTTCTGGGTCATTTGACCTCTAGATAGTCTTGAGCTCCATGTTCAGTATGTTTAGTTTTGCTTCCCCTGTGGTGTCATGTTCATTTGTATCAGCTGTGTTCTCCAGGTGTTTCCACTTCCCTCATTGCCCTTCTGTGTATTTAAGTCCTGTCTTCCTTTGTTCCTTGTCAGGTCGTCTGTTCGTCTACCCGTGTCTGCTCTCCTTGCCGTGTTCATGGTCTGTGGTTTTCCCACGCTCTCTGTGTTTAGATCTTTGTTTAGTTTTTCCCCACTTTAGGTTTTTGGTTAGTTTATCTCTGTGTTATTTTGCCTTTGTTTCTCATATTTCCTGCCTCAAGCGTTTGCGTTTGAGTCCTCTTAAATAAATACAGGGTCTGCTGCCGCAGACACGTGACAAAAAGAAATATTAAGGTAGAAATTACTTTAGAGCAGTACATAATTACATAATACTGAATAAAAATAATTTACAAACAGCCAATATGTGAACAGACAAATGCTATGAGTGATTCGACTTCCTGTTGACTTCACAGTGGTTCTTTCTCTTGAAGCCTTTCTGCCCTCAGTTCATGCTGGGTCATGATGCATTCATGCAAACAAGATTGTACTGATGCGAACATGTTGTGTCAGTGAAGGCTGCATATCTGTATAATGAATGTGTTTTCAGCCATGATGCTGTGGCCATGTAATAGTGACTCATTAATGTACAGCCCCAGTTATGAACATCTGCATGGGAGCATGCGTACTGGAGTATGTGACCAGTCACACATTCATCTTTGTACAAGTCACCTTGTTAGTTTGTCACACATGTGAGGCGTGTGCATGTGGCGCCATGTGAGTTATTCATGCTTCATGAGTTTTGGTTTCAATTTGCTCGATCTGTACAGGCCTGTCTGCTTACACATAATGTTTTCAGATCTGTCTATATGTTTACTGTAGACAGATTGCTATATTACTGTATGTAAGTCTGTATGTACAGGGAGTGCAGAATTATTAGGCAAATGAGTATTTTGTCCACATCATCCTCTTCATGCATGTTGTCTTACTCCAAGCTGTATAGGCACGAAAGCCTACTACCAATTAAGCATATTAGGTGATGTGCATCTCTGTAATGAGAAGGGGTGTGGTCTAATGACATCAACACCCTATATCAGGTGT